CCCTGTGCCCCAGAGGATCATCCAAACCCTCCTGCAGCTCTGGCAGCCTTGGGGCTGTGCCCACTGCCCTGGGGAGCCTGTTCAGTGCCAACCACCCTCTGGGGGAAGAACCTTTCCCTGAGATCCACCCTGAGCCTGCCCTGACACAGCTCCAGCCGTTCCCTGGGGGCTGTCCCTGCTCCCCCCAGAGCAGAGCTCAGTCCTGCCCCTCCTCTGCCCCTGCCCAGGCAGTTGGAACTGCAGGGAGGTCTCCCCTCAGTCTCCTCCAGCTGAACACACCAAGTGCCCTCAGTGTCCTCTCCAGGCCCTTCTTGAGAGCCATGATTTCTGCACTCCTTTCCTTGTTCCAGCACGCCCCAGGTGTCCCTCGGATCCTGGTGGGGAACAGGCTCCACCTGGCCTTCAAGCGGCAGGTGCCGACGGAGCAGGCGCGGGCCTACGCCGAGAAGAACTGCATGACCTTCTTCGAGGTGAGCCCCCTGTGCAACTTCAATGTCATCGAGTCCTTCACGGAGCTGTCCCGCATCGTCCTCATGCGGCACGGCATGGAGAAGATCTGGAGACCCAACCGAGGTGAGGGAGGAGCCTGCTCCGTGTGGGGAGGGCTGGGATTGAGCAGGGATGGGGCTGCCTGGGTGGGGGGTGTTCCCGGGGAACTGTGGGAGCTGAATCCACCTGACAGGGAGAAGAGCCTCGGGCCAGACAAGCTAGAGCTGAGCCACGAGCTGCCTGGACTGGTGCGGGGCTGGGCAGCTCCACGGGGCAGTTCAGCGTGTCTGGGACCTGCAGTGCTCTGGGGCATCCTCCACCTTCCCACTTGCTCTGCGTGAGGCTCAGGGCAATTATCTCCCAGCTTAAAAGTACTTCAGTCAAACGACTGCGTGGGACGAAGCCAAGCGTAAAGCACCTCGGTCCTTGCCCTTGCCTGAGCCTGTCCCCCCTGTTCTGGAGGGAAGCAGAGCAAGCCCAAGGAGCTGAAAGGGGCTGAAGCTCCTCCCTGCTGTCAGCAGGCAGCAGTGGGCTGGGGGATTCCATGTATCCAGGCACGTGTGCTGCACTGGGGCAAACCACAAGCAGATTCCGTGTTATGTCTCAACCTGTTGGCTTTGAAGAAAAATAATCTCAGTTCCCACGTTATTCCTGGCTGGAAGTGTCCCCCCTGCAGTCTGAGCAGCAGATCTGTGCTCCTGGGGTGACCTGCCCTCACATGGATCTTCAGCTCCTGCTCACCAAGGAGGGAAAATCCTGTTTGCCCACCCCAGTCCCCAGATGGGCTCCTGTCCCTGACTGTGGCACACTTGGCTGCCGTGCCACGGTCTCCAGGTCACCGAGGGATGGTGGGCAGGGAATGCGCTGCATTCACAGACCTTTCCTGAACCTCTTCCAGAGAATTTGTAACTCTGTGCTGCCTGCTTGGGAATGGATAGGGCTAAAGGAAACGGCCTCAAGTGGTACCAGAGGAAGTTTAGATTGGATATTGGGAAAATTTCTTCCCTGACAGGGTGGTCAGGCACTGGCACAGCTGCCCAGGGCAGGGGTGGAATCACCATCCCTGGAGGTGTTCAAAAGAGGTGGAGATGTGGCACTTGGGGACATGGGTTTGTGTTGACCTTGGCAGTGCTGGGGAACGATTGGAGTGGATAGTCTTAGAGGGCTTTTCCAACCTTAAGGATTCTGTGTTTCTATGAATGGCGGGAACGGGAATCTGCCTGCTGGGGAGCAGCATCGTGGCTCTGGCGGGAGGAGGATAACGCGTGCCCTCTTGTGGCTCTGAGTGGGAGGTCCCCTCCGAGGAAAGGGACTTCCCAAGGCAGGCTCACATGGTGCGGGCTGAGCTGAGAGGCTGCTGGGAAACGGGAAGGGGCAGAGTGGTGTTCTGGCTTGGTGGGATCTCTGCGCCTGGGGGGTTCTGCAGAGAGCTGCTGCTCCTTGAGGAGGTCCCGAGGGACACTGGACTGTTTCAGGACTTGCTGACCCTGTTGGCCTCTTCCCTGGGCACGCCCTGGTTGCCAGAGGATGTGCTGAGAAGCCAAGTGCCTGTCAGGAATGTGAGCCCAGCCCTGCCACCCCGGGCGCTGAGCAGGGCAGGGCTGGCAGTGCCTAACCCTGTGCTGACACCAAAGCTGGTGTCTGGCGAAGCACAAACCTCCGACAGCAAAGCTCGCCTTGACTGCCCAAACTTTTGTCCTAACCAGCCTGCTCCCTACTCAAAGCTCCTGTGCAGTCATTCTTGGCATCTCTCCCTGGGGAGCCGGGGCTGTAAGGAATAGCTGTGGGATGAGGGCAGCCCAGGAAATCTCTCGGCCCTTGACTGTGTGGTCCTTTCTCCCGCAGTGTTCAGCTTGCAGGACCTGTGCTGCCGAGCCATCGTGTCCTGCACCCCAGTCCACCTCATCGACAAGCTGCCCTTGCCTGTCACCATCAAGAGCCACCTGAAGTCCTTCTCCATGGCCAACGGGATGAACGCGGTGATGATGCACGGCCGCTCGTATTCCCTGGCCAGCAGCGGGGGCGGCAGCAGCAGCAAAGGGAACAGCTTGAAGAGATCCAAATCCATCCGGCCGCCCCAGAGCCCCCCCCAGAACTGCTCACGCAACAACTGCAAGATCTCTTAGCAGGATGGGCACCGGGAGCTTCTGTCGGATCCGCACCCGCCCACCGATGTACAGCTGTTTGCACACCCAGCCCTTTCCCACTGGATCCTTTCGGATGGGTTGCTTTTCCGATGGCACGCACAAGCGTTAGGAATGTGCTCACGTTTTGGCTTGGCATAGGAAGAAGCGTGGTGCCGGCTGGATCCCGCAGCGCTGCCGGAGAGAGGATCTGCCAAGTGACCCTCCAAGAATGCTTTGGGCTTTGCCTCTCGGCCTGGGGTGGAAAATTCAGCAGCTGCCAGGTTGGGGAGGGGGGAAGGGGAGAAAAAGCTCATCCAGTCTCAATGGAGCAATGGATTTAATGGAAGATTGAGAGGCTTAAGGGAGTAGGCAAGGAGAGTCTGTGCTGCAACTTTAACTCTTGGCCTCCTGAACAGATTGCTGGTGCAATAGTGATCCTTGGATGTAGACAAAAAGAAACAGGGACAGGGGAATAATGACAGTTTTCACCGAGATGTTCACCTGCTGTTGCCAAAAAAAACCAGAAAACAAGGCAAGAGTTGGCCAATTGGAAAGGGGAAGGCAGCGCTCGCTGCCTTCGCTTATTTATGTAAATATTATACATATATATATATCACTTGTTTTTTAAGGGTTTTTTTAAGAAGCAGTCAGGGAAAATTTTATGCAGCCATGTAAATACAAGCACTGGAGTGACTTTCCCAGTGTCAGCAAAGGGGAGAAGGGGAGGATTTTCTGACAAAAACACATAAATGCTTTAAGTGACTTTCCCTCACCCCTGGGCTCATGGTGGCGTTTTTAAATACTGTGTGTGCAGAAGGAAAGGACAATTCGTGTGGAACGTGCCCCAAGCTGCTCTGTTCCAATCACTCCCTAAAACTTGCAAGTGCTGATGCAGGGTGGGATGGCAGTGCATGGAGGGGCAGAGTGGAGAGGCCAGGATCATGGGGGCTGGGTTTTTTTGGCAGGCAGGAGGAAGAGGCAGCTCTGGGGTCAGACTGATGCCTTGCTCGCTTTGAGCCTTCTGGTCAGGGATTTGGGAGCAGTGGGTGGAAGCATCGTACCTAAAGCAGAGGAAAAATGCTGAATTTTGTCCCTTATTGCTGCAAAACCTTGGCTGTTGCTTCCAGTGCCGTCTATCCAGGACACCACCCCCTGTGACAGCCCCTGGATTCTGGCTGCTTCCAGCTTTGCCTTCCCAAAGATGCTGCCTGAGGTCGCGCTGCTGTGGCTCCTCCTGGATGAAAGTGGGAAAGGGCAGAAGCAGCTTTTCCCCCTGGAGTGTGAAGGAGCAGGGACTGGGAAGGTGGGAGGTTGGGGTGGGGAAACAACAGTCCACAGGTCCCTTAGTGGCAAAGTCACCTGGTTCTTGGGGCAGTCCTAGAAGATCAGGAGAGCAAACTGCTTTGCTCCCTAGGACGGCTCCTGGATTTTGGTGGGGCAAGAACTTGGGATGGATCTTCTGTCAAGCAAGTGCACCTGCTTCCTTGGCTTCATTCCACGGCTGACCTGTGCTGGGAATTCACCTGGAAGCTGAGAAATAACGCCCAGCCCTTACCCCAGGAGCTGAGGGGGCTGGCAGTGGGGCTGAGCTGTGGCAGCAGGTATCTCGTAGGTGGCCAGGGTGTGTAGACCGTGAGTAGCGCGGTAGGAAGCGAAGTGTATACAGTGCTGCCATCCTGCTCCTGGGATCAGCAGCTCCTCAAGGCCTGGGCTTGCTCTGCTCCCCCTCCCTGAGCCGCTTGTTGCACTGTGTGGGCAGGATGAAGCCGCGGCGGTTCCCGCGCGGCCGACAGACCCGCCGTGTCCGGGCTGGACACGTCCCCCCCACGGGGACATCGCCCTTCCCTCGCTTCCGAGCCGACCTGGGAGGTGCTGGAGCCTTCCCCCTCCCCTCTGCAGAACACAACAGGGGCAGGTCTCTTGGCTCAGCTCTATCTCTGCTTTATCACCCAGCTCAAGTGAGCGGGGAGAGAATTAAACCCCAGGCAGGTGGAGGGGGAGAAGAATCCTTTGTAGTAGTGCTTTGGCTCGAGAGCAAAGCTGGGGCCGGGCCCGGCGCAGTGGCACAAGGCCGGGGGATTTGGAGAACCTGTCTGGGCTGGCTGGCACCTGTTTCCCATCACTTAACATGGAGCAGAAGACAATCGCTGGCTCAGCAGCCCGGGGATATACAGCCAACAGGTGACGGGCACCCAAACCCGCGGCTCCTCCCGGGAAACACCGCCCGGGCACCGCAGGCTGCTCCCGGCACCGGGGCCTGGGGCGAAGAGGGATGGAGGGCTCCTTCCTGAAACCACCAAGCCTGCTGCATGTCCCAAAACTCGCTGTACCTCTGCTTTGGTTTTGGCTGTGCCACGTGTGCCACCTCCCCACACGCCGTCTCCCTGCGGTTGGTTTGGGTTTTGCCACCCTGTAAAGTCTCACGGATCCTGTCTGGAGTGAGGATGGATGAGTTCCCTGGAGTGATTGCCCAGCAACAAACTTTTTTTATTTTTTAATTTAAAAGGAAAAGATGCTTGCATCTGATGTCAACACTAGTCTGTAGCTGCTCTCCAACACTTGTACCATTCCTGAGTTGGTTTTTTTGGACTATCCTTTTATTTTTTTATTCCTTTGTACAGTCAGTGTTGTTCAGCTGATTCTACATGGTTTTGTTTTGTATAAATTAAAGTCTTTTTGTTTGTTTTGATCTACCAGTTGAAAGGTGGAGAAGCTGTATCTAGTTTTGTGTGGGCTGGGAAGAGGTTGAAGGGAAAAGGTGGCAGTTTGCCCATACCTGGGGATTTGGGGCTGCTTGTAGTGCAGGTGTGTATTGCCACTTCCAGGTCATCCACAAAATAACTCAAATTACACTTTCTGGGGAGTCTTCACAGTCATGATTCCTGGCTGTGGTGGCTTTTTGCCCTTTTCTGTACATGCAGAGGCTAAATCTGTTCTTGATTCTCACAGATTTGGGGTAGTGGAGCTCTAAGAAAACACGGACTTGTTTCCAACCCAGTTGGTCCTGTAGGTGGCTGGAGAAAACCAGCAGCTGCCAGGAATTGTGCTCGTCCCTGCTCCACGGGGACAGGTTTGCAAGTAGTCAAAGCCTGAAATCCCTTCTTTGGGTCTGGGTGATGCTGGGGGAGCAGTCACCCATCCTGCCCAGACTGGAGCAAGCTGGAAGCCATCCTGGGATAAATGTGTGTCTGAAACGGAGAGGATGCAGCACCAGTGTCACATCAGGGTGGCCTCTGGAGGCACTGGGAGCCCCAAAGAAGGGGGATTTGCTCCTGGGGTTGAGGGAGACTTCTTGTCTGATCCTTTTTTCCCAGCCCACCTCCCCTTGACCTCCCTTTTCCCCTGCCTTCTCACTTCCCTAGGATCAGATTTTCCACTTCGTACCAGACTGGCCACGCTTGTTTTAACAGCTTAAGTAGTAATTGCCGGGGCTGGGAGGGGGCAGGGGGAGATGAGATCCTGTCTGCAGCCTGGAAAACCCTGGAGCTAAGGTGAAAGCCTGGTCAGGGAAGAGTCACTGAGCCTTTTTTTTTTTTTTTTTTCCCTTTCTTCAGGGGGTTCTGGAAGTGTCTGTTGCCTCTTGCAGGGCTGAAACAAAGGCTGTGTGTGGTTTCAGGTGGGGCAGGGACAGCCGGAGCCCATTACGCTGGAGCAGCGGGGGCTGCCCGGGCCACAGCTGTCTGCTTGGGAAGAGCAGGGCAGGAAAACACTGCACAGCCTCAGCGTGGTGGGAAGGCTGGGAAAGGTTCAGGGCTGCTTGGAGAAGGAGGAGAGAGCAGGTTCCTCTGGGGTGATTCAGGTCTTTCCTCACTGAGCGTGTTTCTCCGCACACACCTTCCCGATTTGAGGTGTCTTGGGTTGGTCCCACTGTCCCACAGGCCGGGGAGAGGTGGTGACCTCCATCTGACTGCAAGATCCTTGAAAATGTGGGTGCATCTCCCCATGGGTGTGTTAGAGGGGCAGGAGCCCCCTGGGTGCAGGGGGGACACATGGCACTGCACCCTTCCTCCAGGACACGGTGCTGAGCCGCTCCCTTGTCTTGGAGGGAGAGGATGGACCACAACCTGAGAGGAGTTCAGTTGGTTAAAACTTGGTCCTAATAATGCCAAGGTCATGGGTTCAATCCCTGTATGGCTCATTCACTTAAGGATTGGACTTGATGATCCTTGTGGGTCACTTCCAACTCAGAATATTCTGTGATAAAACTCACATCTGTGTCTGAGATCTTTCACAGGGACACCAAAAATCCCTGTTTTCGGGTGCCATGGGTGCTTGGACACTCGGAGGTGAACAGTTTAGGGGAGACTGAAGTTACAGCTGCTTTAAGCTTTGAGATGGTGAAGGTATCGTGGGCTTGGTCAGGTTTGGGAGAGTCACTTTGTCCTTCATCTTTGGCTGAAGAATCACCAGAAGAGGCTGGGTGGGGATGAGGGTCCCAAGCTGGGTGGGGGTTCCCAGGTGTGGGTGAGGCTCCCAAGTCACTGGGAGCTGCATTTCCAACTTCGCAGCACCGACATCCCTCTGTCCGGTCCTGCACCACTGGGGGGAAGGTTCCCTGCCACCGCTTGTCCGGCCTCGCAGCCTTTGGTCTCGGTGACACGGGGATGAGACGCCTTGGGCTCTGGTGTGAAACGTGCCACCCTCAGGAGCTGCTCCTCTGGCTCCAGAGGGGCTGTGTGTGGGGCAGGAGCTGACCCACACCCCAGCACCAGCATTGTCTGTGAGCACACAGAGCCCAGCCTGGGGATGGGGGAAAGCTGGGCTCCTGCTCTGCTGTTCCTTCCTGCACCAGCACCCTCGGGAGGACTCTGGGCACCCCCAAGTGGCTCTGTAGCCCTGGGCTGCATCACCAGGGAGCAAGGGGCCCTGCAGCTGCCACACTGCTTCCCAGCTGGAGCAAGGTGGGTTTGTGGTCGGGGATCTGCAGGCAGCCGGTGGCTGGGGTGGGCTGGGTGGGTCTGGGGGGTCTCCAGGCTGCCAGGGTATGCAGGGTAGAGCCCCCAGCAGCTCCTAGCTGGGCTATCCTGATGCAATCCCCTGTTTGCAAAACATCAGCCTTCCTGAAAGTGTCCCAGGGCAGCAAAACCTCCCCTGGGCATCCCTGGCTGGAGGGACCCTTAGGTGGCTGCTGGGCTGTGAAACGGGACCCCAGGCACAGCCGCGGGACACTCCAGCCCTCCAGGTGTGGTCGTGGCCAGCTGGTGACAGTCCTGACCGTGCTTTGGGGTTTTGGGCCCGGGGAGCCCCAGCATCACTGCAGAGCCCCCGGCAGCGCAGCCCACGGCCAGCCCAGGCAGGGAGGTGGCAGCACTGGCAGGTCACTGTGCCAGAGCACTGCAGCTACACCCTGCCCACACCAGCGTGGGGGTCTCGAGGGCCCCCCCAAATAGCCTGGTCTGGGACAAAAGGAGCTGCGCATCGGAGGAGCACCAAACCATTACATGCAAAAGCCCCTCAGGGGTGTGGGTGAGTTGCATTCCCCACCAAAACGAAAACAAAACAAGAAAGGGCTCCCCTCCTTTTTTATGTCCCCTCCAGCACCTGCCCCTGAAGAGTAAAGGCTGGAGGTGCTGAGCTGCTCCCCCGGGGCAAAACTCCCTCGGGTTTGCTGTTTCCAGAGACTGCAGACCCCCCTCGGCGCTGGGGCTCTCGCCAGAGCCGGAAGAGTTAATGCTCCCAAAATGCCATGAAACGTTCCTGCCGCAGGTCAGTCTCCAGCGGGGATTAGGGGGATCTGGCCGGGGAGCCGGGGCCACCTCCTGCCAGCTCAGGGCCGGTGCGGGACGTGCCGGTTGAGCCCAGGCACAGTGTGCGGGTCTGGTCTGTCTCAGAGGACAGCCTGGCTGTAAATCAGCGGCGAGGGAGGGCTGGGAGCCCCAGGGGGAGCCCCTCCAGGGGGGCTGGGTGGGCACCCAGCCCACGGGGCGAGCCGGGGTCCTGTGCCGGCAGCGCGGCGTTCGTGGGATGCCGGCGGGGGATCGGGGATGGGTCCGTGCCGGTGCCAGTATCCCGCTGATGGGCACCTTTGGCTGTGGTGCCAGTGGGTGCCCAGGGGCGGGGGGCGGGGTGAGGGGCTCCCGGGCAGCCCGATCCCGCAGCGTGGGCTCCCCGTGCCTCCCGCCGGCCGCCCCGTCCCACCGGACCGCAGGATCTGGTTGTTTCTCATCCTGCAGGAATTCGGCTCCGTGGGCCGAGCGGGTTTTTGTGTGCGTCCCCCCCCCCTCCCTCCCTCTCTTCACTATCCCTCTTTGGAGACTTTCTGCATTCTGCCTTTGATCTCCCCCCGTGTTTGCCCAGAGATCGCCGGGCTCGCCGGGGTTAGAGGCTGAGGTCAGCGCCTTTCCCATTCCAAACACCCAGAAACATCAGTGGGAAGGGAGGGGATTCAGATTACAACCTTCCCGTCCTCCCCTTCCACCCCACTCGCCCCGCTCGCCGCGCCGAGGATGGACTGAGCCCCGGGGGACACCCACCGCCACCACCGTGTCCCCGAGAGCCGCGCGGCGATGGGTGGAGGGCGGCATTGCCGGGGGTCCGGCGGGCGCCGGCCGTGCTGAAGGGAAGAGGTTTGGTCCTCGCCTCCTCCTCCTCCTTCTCCTCCTCTTTGTCCCCCCCGCCCGCCCGCCTTCCCCCTCATTCCCTCCGTCCTGAATGTGATTTATCCCGAGCCGTCGCCAGCGAGCCAGGCCGGCGGCGCGGGGTGGCCCGATGGCTCCTCGTGGGGGTCGCGGGGCACGGGACCAGCGCACGGGTGGGCGGCAGCGGGGCCCCGTGGGCATCGCGCTGCTCCTGCCCGTGCTGGCGGCGGCGGCCGGGCTGAGCCTGCAGCCGGGCAGGACGCGGCACCTGGGCGTGTGCCCCAACCAGCTGAACCCCAACCTGTGGGTGGACGCGCAGAGCACCTGCGAGCGGGAGTGCCAGGCAGACCAGGTGAGCGGGGGGGGGCCGCGGCGGCGGAGGGAGGTAACAGGTTTTGGGAGGCATCCCCAGGTCCGTGAGGAGATGTTTGGGGTGCGGGTCCTGCGCCCGGTGGCACAGCTGGTTCAGTTGTTTCGGTGCAATCGGCCCGGCTGCAGCTCTGCCCCACCCAAGCCCCTGCTGTCTGCTGGCGTGAGAGGTGCCCCGGGGATGCTCCCCGGCCCCCCACAGGCAGAGAAACTCCTTGTTGCCCCACATGCCTCCCTCTCAGGCTGTGCCCCTTGGACAGGCTCCCCTGCCGTGCACCCCCAGGATGCTCCCACCCAGCCGTGGTGTGCTGGGACAGGGACCCCATCAGGCTGAGAACAGAATCGATCCCCTCCCAACTTTTCCCCGAGGGCAGGAGCCCACCCACGAACTGGGCTGCCCATCCTCGGCTCTGGGCTCTGCAATGGTGAGCCGGGGCACCAACCCCCACCACAGGTAGGGCTGCCCAGACCCTGGATGGGCAGACTCCTTCACAATTCATCTGTGTAACGAGTTCTGTCTCCCCTCAGCCAGCAGGAGCTGAGAGAGGCAGGATGCCGTTTGCTGGGGGGGAGAAGGGCCCGCCATCACTGCAGCGCACCCTTAAACATCCTGGGGTGCTGAGGGTGGGCTGGGGACGGTGCAGCGGTGCTGGGGAGGTTTTAGGCTCTTACCCAGAGCCCAGCGAGGCCAAAGGTGCACAGAGCTGCACGGGGGACATCTGCCCACCCAAAAGTCCCACGGGGGTGGGAACAGCCCCCCCAGTCACAGCACGGCGGTGACCTCCTCTCCCTCCCGGGCCAGGACTGCGAAGACTTTGAGAAGTGCTGCACCAACGTGTGTGGGCTGCGGAGCTGCGTGGCCGCTCGCTTCGCTGACGGCAGCGCCCCGGCGCTGGCTCTGGCACCCGCTGCGTCCTGCGAGAGCTTCGTGTGCGCCCAGCAGGGCTCCGACTGCGACATCTGGGACGGGCAGCCCGTCTGCAAGTGCAAGGACCGCTGCGAGAAGGAGCCCAACTTCACCTGCGCCTCCGACGGCCTCACCTACTACAACAAGTGCTACATGGACGCCGAGGCGTGTCTGCGCGGCACCCGCCTCACCACCGTGCCCTGCAAGCACATCTTCACCTGGCCCGACACCAGCCCGGTGCCGCAGGAGACCACGGCGCGCCCCACGCCCGGCGCCGGCCCCGAGGTGCCGGTGCCCCCCGCCCTCTACACCAACCCCTTCCACCAGTCCGTGCGCGCCGGGGGCACCGTCAGCTTCCGCTGCGATGTCAGCGGGCGCCCGCGGCCCGACATCACCTGGGAGAAGCAGAGCGAGCGAGAGGAGAACTTCATCATGCGGCCGGACCAGATGTACGGCAACGTGGTGGTCACCAACATCGGCCAGCTGGTCATCTACAACGCCCGCCACGAGGACGCCGGCATCTACACCTGCACGGCCCGCAACGCCGCAGGGCTGCTCCGCGCTGACTTCCCGCTCTCCGTGCTCCGGCGGGAGCCGGGGGGGACCCCGAGGGCCGGCAGCCCTCCCCAGCCCTTCCCCAGCGCCGAGTGCCTGAAGGAGCCGGACCGGCGGCGCTGCGAGCCCGTGGAGGTGCGCTGGCACTTCGACGCCAAGCAGGGCTCCTGCCTCACCTTCCGCTACGGCGGCTGCGGGGCCAACAGGAACCACTTCGAGACGTACGAGGAGTGCCGAGCCGCCTGTCTGGGCAGCGCCCGCCCCACCTGCCTGCTGCCCATGGTGCAAGGGCCCTGCCAGAACTGGGAGCCGCGCTGGGCGTACAACCACCTGCTGAAGCAGTGCCACTCCTTCGTCTACGGCGGCTGCGAGGGCAACACCAACAACTTCGAGAGCAAGGAGACGTGCGAGGACGTGTGCCCCTTCCCCAAGAGCCTGCAGTGCAAAGCCTGCCGCCTCAAGAGCAAGATGGTGCTGAGCCTCTGCCGCAGCGACTTCGCCATCGTGGGCCGGCTGATGGAGATCGTGGAGGACCAGGACTCCGGCATCGCCCGCTTCGCCCTCGAGGACGTCCTCAAGGACGAGAAGATGGGCCTCAAGTTCTTCAACATCAAGTACCTGGAGGTGACTTTGACCGACATGGACTGGAGCTGCCCCTGCCCCAACATGACGGCGGAGGACGGGCCGCTGATCATCATGGGCGAGGTGCACGACGGCATGGCCACGCTGGACCCCAGCAGCTACGTCCGGGCAGCCAACGACAAGCGCGTGAAGAAGATCTACGAGCTGATGGAGAAGAAAACCTGCGACCTCCTGAACCGCTTCCAGGACTAGGGGAGAGCCAGGACGTGCCAGCGGGGGGAGCTGCAGACACACCGTGGAGAGGGGTGGCCCTGCACCAGACGTTACCATCACCAAGTAGTTCCCCCCAGCTTCATGCTGAGCCCCAGACCAGCTCCCATCTCCCCTGTAATTTATCTGCTGCATGTCCCCCCCCTTTTGTGCCCCCCAGCCTGGCCAGCAGCAATAAAGAACTCGGTTGGGAGGTCTGCCAGGACATCCCTGCTCCCCATAAAAACTTTCCCACCTCAGCGAAGCCTCTGGACCCAGTGTAGCACCCCCAGTGCAGAATCTGACCCCCTCAATGGTGCTGGGGGTGGGATGGAAATCCCCCCCCCCGTGTTGGCACTGAAAGTATCAGGGAGCTGCTGGGGCAGGGGGGAGCCAAAACCACAAAATTTATTGGGGGGAACTGCAGAGTCCTGGAGAAGGGGGGAAGGGTGATTGACCCCCTGCCATCAGCACAGCATCCCCTGAGCAAACCGAGTAAGAAGTGTCCCCCATACCCAGGGGTGCTGTGCCCCCACTCCCACACCTGTGGTCCCCCATGCCTGTCCTCCTCTGGTCCAGGCTGGGCACCCTGTTGCCAAGGGACAAGGTACTGGGGGAGATGGACCCCCCCAGCCATGCCAGCCCCAGATGGGGCAAGTGGGGCACTGCCCCATCACTGCTGTCCCCAGGTGGCACCTGGGGGGGGACGCTGGGACCCCTGGAGGAGGCAGCGCTGGGGGCAGCAGTGCCGGGACGTGTCGGAGGTTGGGGCAGTCACAGCTTGCGGAAGATCAGGCTCTTGTTGTTGGCCGGCATGTCCACCTGGGGGCACAGAGCTGGCGGTCAGGGAGTGCCACCGGTGCGGGGACCCCCCCCAGACCCCATCACTCACCATCCTCTCCAGGCGCAGCCCGTTGGCCTCGGCCAGTTCCCGCAGCAGCGCCGTGTCCCGCAGGCCCCAGGCGGGATTTCTGCGGGGAGGGAGGCTGGTCAGACAGATGGACAAGGAGGCTGGGTCAGACAAACAGACATCGGGGAGGGAGGAGTGGGTCAGACAGAGGGACACCGCGCCCCGAGGCATCCCCATCTCTCGGGGGTGGTGCCCCCTGGTTGGGGGCTTCCCCCAGACGCTGCTTATCTGGAAGGACCACACTGGGAGGGAGCTTCCTGCTGCTGCAGGATGGGCAGGACAGACAGCACGGGCAGGACACACACCACGGGCAGGACACACAGCACGGGCAGGACACACAGCATGGGCAGGACACACGGCACAGGCCCCCGGCAGCCTGGGCCCCCCAGCCCCCTCCTACCTCTGCCTCAGGCTGTGGTCAAAGTCCACGTTGCTTTGGGGACTGATCTGTCCGTCCACGGCGTAGGGCTGGTGGGACAGGGAGCTGGAGCTGCAGGCTGGAGCCATCCTGTGTTCCCCTGAGCACCCCCCTCCGTGGGCTGCTGTCCCCACCACGCACAGAGGCCAAGCAGGAAGAGACGTGGCCCCAAGAGGCACCAGGGGTGCCATCACCCTCTGTGAGTCCTGTCATCCACCTCAGGTCCTGTCACCCACCTTGGGTTCTGTCACCCACTACAGGTCCCATCACCCTCCAGAGGCCCCCCCAGACCTTGGACAAGGCAAGGGAGGACAGGATCTTTCCCATCCAAAACTGCCCCATCCAGGGCTCAGCATGTGCCCCAAAAGGCAGAGACCCAAGCTCCCCCCTTTCCTGCCCCCTCCCCAAGCCATGCCTGGAGCTGCCCTCCCACCTGCCCCCACCCCCAGCATTCCCAGTGATGCCCTGTGCCCTGCTGATGCTCCCACACCAGGACAGTGACCCACCCCGTAGGTGAAGAGCACTCCTCCAGGCTTCAGCAGCACCCCAGCACCTTTGAACAGACCCTGGGGAATCAGAAAGGTGGGGACAAAGTCAGGGGGCTGGGGACACCCCCTGAGACCCCCCCTCCTCGGCCCTGGCACCCTCAGAGCAGGGCACAGGGCCCGGGGGAGGGCTGCTCACCTCGGTGCAGCGCAGCTCCGCGATGTGCATCATGTTGATGCTGACAAGGAGGTCGAGGGTGGCGGGCTGGGTGCCCCCCCACGCCTCCCAGCCCTGCGAGACGTCCACCACGATGGGGGGCAGCAGGTTGGGCAGCCCCGTGGCCTCCACGTAGGCAGAGATGCTGTGGGCACCAAACCCCACCTCAACCCCAGCCAGGCGTTGCCTGGGCCTCTCCCCCCACCCCGTGCATCCCTCCAGCACCCGCTGCAGGCAGAGACACAACTCCTGGATGGAACCTCTGGTGTCTGAGGAGGCTGTGGGTGCAGCACAGCTGGGGGCTCCTTGCTTCCAGATGGAGAACTGGCAGCACCTGGACAACCAGGATGGAGAGGCCCCAGGCCTGAACCCCCCCTTCCCTGCCTGCCTGCCCCCCACGGGTGTCACTGCCCCAGCACCGCCGCATTTTGGTGTCATTTACACCCTTCTTGGCACATTCAGCACTCAGGCCTTGGCTCTGCAGCCTCACGGGACAGTGGGTGCTGCTGGGTGGGCAGGACACAAACCCCCCTGGACAGGCACCGATTTCGGCACCTCCCTACAATGTTTGTTGTTTTTTTTTTCATGGGGGAAAGATGGATTTTGGGGCTTTTCTGGGAAAAATAAAGTCCTGAGCTGGGGATTCTGGGCTGCTTAGGACTCGGACATTGGGGATTCACTGAAAAAAAATATAGTGAGTATTGACTTGTGAAGCCTGGGAAGGGCAGGAGTTGAATATTGTGGTTTGCCTGGAAAAAATAAAGTGTCAAGCAAGTGGAAGCCTGGGCTGTCCAAGGGGTCTTCGCTGGAAAAAAATTCACATCAAGCTCATCTGAGAGCAGGATATTGGGGTTTTCCTGGAAAAAATACAGCACTGAGCAGGAGAGCCTGGGCTGCCAGAGACTTGGATATTGGATTTTTCCTGGGGAAAAAAAAATAAAGTGGGCCCACTGTTGAGTGGGTCTGTTCTGGAAAGGACATCCATCTGGCCGCTGGATATTGGGGTTTTCCTGGAAAAAACACAGCACGGAGCAGGAGAGCCCGGGCTGCCCCAGAGTTGGAGCTGGGGTTTTCCTAGAAAAAGATAAAGCAGGGAGCGGGGAACCCGGGCCGCGGGGCCGTGGGAGGGGGTTGCAGGCAGGCGGTGCCCCCGGGCCCCCCCAGCCCCCCGGGCCCCCCTCACCTGCGCAGGGCCCGCGGGTCGATGTCCGAGGGCTGCCAGCGCGTGTGCGGGAGGGCGCGGGCGAAGTGCGCGGCGTGGAGCCCCGCGCCCGCGCCCACCTCCAGCACCCGCAGCGCCGCCCCCGCGTGGGCAGCGCCCCCCGCGCACTCCCGCAGCACCGCCAGGATCGGGCCCTTGTTGCGCTCCGCGGCCGCCGGCACCTCCATAGCTGGGGCGGGAGGGGATGAGGGGGGGAACTACAGCTCCCGGCACCCCCGCGGGACCGGCCCACGAGACCGCCCCCACGGCCGCGGGTGGAGCTTCCACGGCGGGGTGGGTGGGGAGAAAGGAAGGGGAAAAAAAAAAAAAAAAAAGAAGGAAAAGGTTTGTGCGCCGCCCGGGAATCGAACCCGGGTCGCAAGAATGGGAATCTTGCATGATACCACTACACCAGCGGCGCTGTCGGTAGCGCTCCCGCCCCGCCGCCTCTCGGCCCCACTCGGGACCGCA